GCTTATTATATCAATGCTATAGAATTTTATGAATTTTCTTTGGCCATAAAAATGCTTTTGAATAGAAATTATATGTCCATAGCATTCAATCATGGAGATAGAGCATTATTTACAATTTTTTTTCTCTGCCACTTCTATCGCCCTTTTTTTGTTACAGCGATAAAATCGAACGGATGAGAGAAAAGAGAATGGCAAAAAGCCCCATTTGTGGTAAAGACGTATAAAAAATGCATTTTCAGACACAAAAATGAAATATTGGCCGAATCGAAAATGAAATGAAATAAAACATATATTGAGTTTCTAAAGCGATATTCTGTCTATGTCATTTTTTTTTTTTCGTGGTGCTGATGTGCAATGGTACTATTGATTATTTACAAATAAAAAAGATAATCAGACTTTAAATATCGAACTTTTAAGCAAACAACCGAAGTGAATGGTTGTTGAATGAAGAACTGATTGCTTTTATTTTACTAATGAATTAGCCACAGAACTGCACCCATACCGACTCTTACCTCTTTTTTGTATCCACGGAATTGATTTACAATCGCGAATAGTCTGATAATCATTTTTTTCTTCTTGCAAATAAGCACTTTTACTGATTGAACTGTCTGGAAAAGTGTACTATACAAACAAAACATTCAGAACTTACCTTTTTTTTAAATATATACTGTTTAAAATGAGATTGTAATCACTTTTAAGCAAAAAAAACGCATCTACCAAATGAAATGAAAAGTCCAGCCTTAAATGAAAATGGGATATCATTTTTTTCTTTATTTAGATGTTGATTCTTTTAATATATAATTATCTAATAGTTTTTTTTTTTTTGTAATTTTACAGTTAATATAATAAAATGTTATTGTCATATGTTCATCTCTTTTTTCTTTTTTTTGTGTTTAATTGTTAACGCTCTCTCAATCATTCAGCATTTGGTTTCTTGTGACGATACATCATTGTAATAGTTGCTCTCAACGAGTCCTGCGACTCGTTGGCATGTAGTAATACTACTCAATCTGTTTATATGCAAAAATAAAATAATTTAATATAAGTCCATTTCATCCATCAATATATTTTTCAAACATAATTTCTTTTTTTCGTTCATTCGATGCTTCCACTCACATTCAAAAACTCTATGTAGTTTTTGTATTTCATACAATTTTTTTATTTACTAACGTCCGATTAACGCCGGTATTCACTCGACATTTTTGTGTTATTTTTATTTTTTCAAATGATTTTTGGAACGATAAATTTTGCAATGAATGAATTTGACTTTACTGTGATATATAATGTTTATAACTTTCGAATGATTGTGCTGCAAATCATCCATTCAATTTCGATCTTCATAACACATAAAATTCATTTTTTGTGTTACCGACACACACACAATCGGTCGCGAATACGTTCCTGTATGCATTTTATTGTTATTATTTTATTTATTTCGATGGTATTGACCTCTATGCAGACGTAACATATAACACGATACCCACACATATAGATGACAAAGTGAGGATGATTTTTGGAGCTGCTTCAACTGTTTGCCATTGTGTAATAAATTAAATATTAATTCGTGCATATCTATGAAATTTTCGGTCTGATCAATTTTCATACATTCGTATTATGCACACATAGACACGGTGCGGGAAAAGTGCAACGCACACATTCGGAATATATATTATCAAATGTGAGGGCCGTTTTTTAAGTATCATCAAACAAAAACAACATATTTTTTTAGTGGAGAGAGATGAACTGTATACCCCTCTACTGTAATCAGTCGGTTCAAACCATTTTCGTAAATTCGTTGCGATATGTTTTACTCATTAGAAAAACAGTAATCCATACTTCATTTTCTCATATTTCAATCCACTCTCTCTTGCACATGAGCTTTTGTGTATTTATTATTCAAAATGTACATATTTTTTTTACATATTTTGAATCGATTTATTATTACAGCATTTAAATTGGATTACAATATGCTCATTTGTGCTTATTGTGTGTCTGTGGTTTTTGTTTCACCTTTTTTCCCCCACTTCTTCCATTCATTTGGCGAATTTCACGCTGAACAACGTACACAATGCAATGGCGTATGCATGTATCGAAATTTATTTATTTCAATTTGATTAATGTCAGTTTTAACTGACTCAATTCGAACACTTGGACACAAAACATCCAGACTTTTTTTGACCAAATAAAATTAAACATGTTTGAGTGAATAATAATCATTTGGAAATGACATGGATACTTTCATTTGGAGAAGATCCAAATAAACGAATTGAAATTCAAATGGATATTTCTTTGATGGAAAATTTATTCAAAGTATTAGATTTACATGCGATGGAAACTTGAAAATTGACAAAATTAATTTTCATTTCTATGGAATCCGATTTTGTCAAGAGCCTACTTTAGAATTCATTTTTTATTCGAAAGACTTTCCGCAATTGTGTGAAATGTATATATATTTCAAAAAAGTCAATGTCAGGAAATTAAACTAAAATTATATATAAAAACCGCTTATATTTTCTTTCCTTTTGCAAATAAAAACAGCAAACTTGAGAATTTTAATTGAATACAACAAATGTTGACGTCATCGTCATATGTAAGATTTGAGTTTTCGTCGGCTTTTTTCAATTTGTTGATTTACTTCAGAAACATTAATACGATATGATGGTTTGATATACTTTTGAGGTTTTGTTCTATCAAAAAAATGGAAATGGATTGAATCCAATTAAAGAATTCTTTTCTTTTAGATCTTTACATTTTTGGTCGATCTGGTTTGAAGTATAATTTGATTGAATTTATGAAAAGAATATTGAAACCAATTGAAACGCCCATTTTAAATTCATTTGATAAATGATATATTGATGGAATGATATGCAGAACATGCGTGTGTGCGTATGATAGAGAAATGTGCCTCTCAAGTTTGAGTGATTAATAAAATTTAATAAAAATATTCAATCATAAATTTCGATGCTCAAAACATTAAATCATACCAATTAATTTAACATTTTTGTATGATTTGTTCTGCTTTTTGCCACTTGCCACAGGATGAAAAAAAAATTGTTGCAAATTATTTGTTTGCGAGTGGAATTTTACAAATGAGGTCCCATAAAATGTTGTACAGCCGCATCATTTAAAACAAAAATAATGACAATAAAATAATCATTTGAATACGCATTTGTGTAATCGTCCAATGAAAAATTTAACAAACTCACGCGCACCCTCTCGTCTGGTCAAGTGTCGGCTTCGATTCGCTATTTGTTTTTTTTGGCTTCCTCCCAATGTGTATGTGCGGTCATACAAAAACATCGCTTAATGAATTAATTACGAGTAATTCGATTTTCCAAATATTTCGCTTTAATTGCTAACACTTTTCTACGTAATTTGGGTTTTTGTTCAGTTTCAATGTTTAAGGTTCATCATAATCAATGATATTATAATAACTAACAATAAAAAGTTTATAAGTTATGAATCAACTCTACGTTTAGTGTGTGTGTAATGTGTTGTCGTTTTATTGGATTTTGATCCATATCGTTTGTTAATTAGCTTAAATTCAATTCTAATTACTTGTGTGGAGTGGGGGAGGTGTATAGTTTAACTCCCATAATGCTGATTTATCAGGTTCGGTTATTACGTTCATTATACATTTGATACAAGTTCATATTTTATAAGCAGCAAACAAAAAAATGTACAATTACAAATATTGTTGTTTGTTCTTGTTTTTTTTTTTTTAAATACAAATTTAAATATGTTACGAATACGAGTACGGAAGACCTCTTATTTACACTTAAAATTCAGTTTCTTTATTATGTTTCATCAAATTGTTTTTAAATGTGGGCGCGTGGTCCGGCAAACCTATTTTGCATGAAACAATTTAAGCAATTTAGCACACACACGATTACGTCATGATAAGACGACAAGGGAATCAACCAAAGAAACAACATCCCTTGTGCGCTTAAGATAGACAGACAATAGAATAAAAGAAAAAAGATGTTTAAAACAAAAAAAGTATTAATTTTGCATTTGGAATGTATTAAAGATATATTCCAAACAGAAGCGAATGTTATAATTTACTATAGTGCTTTGAATTATTCTGGATTTGTGTTTTCTCTTATGAGAGCCAGTGCACTTATGCAATTAAATAACTCCATAGAATGTCGAAAGAAATAGTAGTACATCCTAAAAGCATTTAACCACTAAATTCAAATTGTATTGAAATATTGAACGAAATTTATGAAATGAGTTAGTCACAAAGGGAAAAGGAGAGCGATGGAGAGTCGACACACTCTCTCTCTTTCTCGGTAGGTTTTAACATGGAAACTAAATACAACACTAATTAATCAACTGGGTAGATAATATTACCGATTACACTGGATGAACTCAATTAACATTGATCACATTGCTGTGGTAATGGGTACTATAAATATAACCGAAATTATATCGAATATCCATTGATTCGGGGAGGATTAACTTGGCCATTAAAAAATGATAATCATATACCAAGCCAAAAAACCAAATAGAACTTTATGCTCCACTTGTAATCACACGCAATGTTAACAGTAACGCTTAGCCGATGCCTTTGCATTATTACAGACCAGCTGAATTTATGGACACTTTTTAGAGTATTTTGTAATTTATGTAAATTACCATCCAATACACGAAACTTTACGCCCCCTAAATTAATGAAACAGTGCCGTGCACAGGGATAGAGAAAAATCTAATAATTCGGTAGTCGAAACGATGGAAAAATTACAGAAAGCATATATCGAAAATGAATGTGTATGAAAATATTTCATTTGATTTGCATCGAAACTTTATTCAAATTCACATGAACCAAGTCGGCGGAATTTTTTTTTACTTCAGCTCATTTCTAAAGTTGCTTTTTGTATGATGTTATTTTTACAAAAATGAATAAATCGATTTTAAAACAGTTTCTGTTAAAATTTTCATTCAATCATGAAAAATTTATAAAAAATATATTCAACAATGAAAAAAATAATGACCGAATTGATTAATTTTGGATTATGAGCTAGAAAATTGTAATTAAGTTTTTTTTTTATTTCAAAAAAACCAACACCGACCCAAAAACCATAAAACAAACAAAAATTGGTTCAATTGTTAGACCTTCTAGTTAGAATGACGAATAAAAGCTTTTTAAATGGCTTTTATTTTCCTCCATTTAACGCACGGTTTTATGGTGAGCTCACACTAACAATAGATAAATCGAAATTAATTAAACAAAATTGAGCTAGATTTTTCATCAGAATTATCTGGTTTCGGTTGGGGATTGTGCTGAAATGCAAGATTCGTACATATACCGAATAAATATCATTTGACGTTGCCACATGTTTGTTGACACAAACGTTCTTTTTTTGCTATATCTCATGATCCGCGTATGTACAGTGTACACACCATACAAACACCAAATGTGTCAACAATTCCGGAAACGTATCTTGGGAATGGTCAGAGAATACCACTTTTACAGTTAGTTGAAACTATTTCGTGCTAGAAGTAAAAAAATGGCCAAAAATATAAATAAAAAGAGAGCCGAATGAAAATAAAATCATATTTATCATTTTTGCATTTTTTCCGGGGGAAAGTACGATGAAAAACACAATGCATGTGCAAAGAAGCGTCAGAAAATTAGATTTACATACACAAAGTTCTCTCGCTTGGCAGGGCAATTGTGAGCGTTAGCGCGCGCATCATGATTGTGTATTGTGCAATACACGGATACATAAACAACACTCTCTGTTGCAAACGTTGCATATCAAAAGACACGACCGCTATTACATGCACACTTCATATGCTTTTGTGTGAAACATTACAACCAACGCGAAAATTGAAAAAAAAAAATTGGAAGAGAGAAAACGCTAAAAAATCAAAACGAATCAACCTAATTTTCGCTACACATACACACAGGCACAGACGGAAAATTAAAATGCAAACAACAAAAACTTGTTGATAAAAAAAGTGGCGTTAGTCGTGTTCACTACCATAAATTGTGCTTATCGGCAATGACATTTTGCAAATTTGTTAAGGTTTTTTTTCGTTGACATTTTTTTGCAAAATAGTATTTCGTATGTGCTTGGAACTTCCAGTGAAATGACACAGTTTCAAAATTTTGTTCGTTTCCTCACGACATTTTTTACAACCGACCGAAACATACCATTTGGAACACAAAGGAAAGTTTAATCTGACCGAGAGAGAGTGAGAGAGAGAGAAATGTCACATCACTTGCGATAAATTTTGACCAAAAGATTTTATTGTGCTCATAATTTCGCGTCTAGGTAGATATACTCATTTGGTGTCCAGGTAAATGATGCTTATTTAGTGTTCAAGTTCGCAAAATATAGAAAATTTTTAAGCTTCAACACTGTAACTGATCGCAGTGGCATCATCAACCTAGATAACGCTACTAACTTATGTTTATTTGTTATCATTACATAAATTGCACTTTATTTAATTTAATAAAGTTAAATGATTCGAGGCTGTCTTGTGGTTTGCAATTGGCTAGAAAAAATGAAATTGCCATTCGTGGTTTTTGTAATGAATGGTTTTCGTTAAACAACTCATATGGTAATTCTCCATTTGAAAGTTTTTTCTTGTAATTTTCACTGCAATTCATCCTGTATTTTAGACATAAACTGAGAATAATTCATTATTGCATTTAAAATTACGTATTCCGAATGAGCGACAACAAAACAAAACTATGGCAGTGGTCGAGATTTTGCATGGCCACAAGGACCGCATATCTGCATATTCGTGTGTGTGTGAATGTGAATGTCAGAGTCAAAATTGTATCCCCTTAATTTGATTCAATATTTATATACAAATGAAAGTGAAAAATTTATTTCACTTTCGGGTTTTGCGTAATTTTGACACGATATAGCTATTTTGAGTTTTTGTTTTGCTATGGTGCTTTTTTGCACCATAATTCGAATAACATATTTTATATCCATCTAAAAAATATTTCACAACAATTTATCCCTTTTACACATTTAGCTTTTATTGATGTGGATCCATTTATAAATGTGCATGATATGTAACACTTGTTCGTAAGGTGATGCCATAAGAAGTAATTTCCGAAGCGTTCGTTGAGAAAACATCAAAAAATATTTCTTTTCCGTTCAACTTTCTCTCATTGGAAGCTTGATGGTTTTTCACTTTTGCACATTAAAATTATCTGGTTAACCCTTTCTTCGAAGAAATAATTATAGTAATACATACATGTATTCTTCTTTTGCATTACCTTGCCGAAAATTGTTTATCATATCATATAAACAATTATACGTTGATTCATCATGGTTTTTATAGTTAGAATTTGACTGAATTAGTCTTTTGAATGATTTTTTGGTTATTACTTTTTTAAATTTTAATTATAATTTTTCGGAACATGATATATAGATGATTTATTACACACTCTAATTTATTGGATTATTCTTCACTGGTGTTTTTCCTCTTCTATTTTTTGTATTTTTTGCATTGTATTGATGCAAAGTTTGAATTTAATTTTGTTAATAATATAATTTAATTAATTTGGAATCAGAACGACCGGAAATGAAATTATGTGATCATTAAAAATGAATATGTACAAAATGGATTTTTTTTTAAATTATGAGCACCTTCCGTGTTCATCGTTGTTCAGCCCCATCCGAAAAATTCGTATGATTTTCAATGAAATAATTATTAGACTAGTTGAATCATTGACATCAACAACATAATAAATATCAATGACATAATGATTATAATGATGGCAATAAAATGACCAAAATGCAAACCGAAAAAACAGTAATGTCGCTGAGATTCGTTGTTAATTTGATGCTACTACTCGGATGATAACCAAACCATCCAGGCCGATTTGATGATGACATGTCACCTGAACTTGTTTGTGATGTTCGCGATTTATCGATTCCATTCGGTATGTTTCCGCTCGTTATGCCAATATTTCCCGTTCCACCAACACCGTTACCGCCAACATTTCCACCAACTCGACCACCGCCAGGACCTTGTGTGAATACTATGAATTGCATATACATTTCGAATTTATTTCTACAACAATTGCTACATCATGAATCGAGACAGTTGCCATTGGAATATTGCTTACGCGACTGTTTGAATACAATGGCAAAGAAAATGGCAACAAAATGCATGCAAAAACTGAAACACAAAACAACAGACAATGGCAGTAGCATCACACGCGCACAATTCACAATGATCAGCAATAGCGATTGCTATCAATTGCATCCCCAGTCCATTCTCTCTCTTTTATCTAACTAGCGAGAACAGCGCTTATTTAATTAACGATCATAAATTAAAATTTAATTAGATTGCGACGGCGGCACAACTAGAAAATGGCGATTACACCATTTGGTTGTAGAGAAATACCAAGTAGATTTTTTTCTGCTGACACACATATTCCAGACCAATGGACAAATGTGCCTGAAATGAAATCCCGTCGCAGTATTGAACATATTTCTTTCCTTTAAATTGCTACATGATTTCAGTTGGTCAATGGCAGAAATTCAATTAATACAGGCTTTCAGAACGTCCATAAAAATTGGCTTGAGATTTTATGCGCGACTCTTTTTTTTTCTTTCTTCCAGACCATATTGGCCTTGACATGTGATAATTTTACATTGTTCGAAACAGAGAAGTGACGTAAATTTTAACAAAATTGATGAGAACAATACGAAAGAAACAATGCATCCGATACGGTCGTTTCATGTTTATAAGTATAGGAAGTTTAGCCCAAATCTTGCTCTCGTTAAAAGGAAGAGAACACAAGTGGATGTTGAAAATTAATTGGGAAAATACAGTCTTCAAGCAAATAATTGTAATACAGCAATAAACAATAAAATGTAAATTGTTGATGGAGCAAAGAAGAGAGAAGGAGTTAAAAAAAATGGGGGTAAAATCCATTAAAGCGGTAAAATCTACAGTAATTGAACTTTATGTACATGGAGCATCAACTATTGTCGGTTGAAATTTACTTGAAATTGAATAAAACAACGGACGATCGGATGTGTGTGCTTGAGCATATGGTATGTGTTTGTGTCTGTGTATGAAATGGAATTGCTGCCGTTTTTGTTGGATGGACAACAATTACATGCCTCTATATTATTTTACTTATTGTTCTTTTTTTCTTACATATTGTGAAATATATTCGTGATAAACATACCTTCGATTGAACCACCACCGCCACCGCTAGCCGCTCCGGCAATCTCGTTCTCTTGCAAATTGTTCGGTAGTAATATTTCTTTAACTCGGTTGGATGTGTCATGACCTTTATGGTTATGATTTTGATGCTGTTTGCGCCGCGGCGGCTTTACCGTTGTATACACATACGGTGTTGGTGTTGTAGTTGTAACAGGTCGCGTTATGAGTTTTAGCTCTGTCAAATGCAAATATATACAAAAGCGCAATTAGTTTTATGTAAACGAGAACTTTTGTATTTCTTTTTGTTTTGTTCATTCCATCGACGGCGACAACGTTGGTATGCTGGATTAAACGAAGCAGTTAAAGGTAATGTGGAGAAAATTACCCCGAAAAACCGTATTAGCTTTTAACACAACTGCCATTTTCAAAAGGCATGCAATGCTGTTGCTGCTGTGCAAATTGGTAAACAATACACAATATGTGTCATGATGGTGTATACACAATAGCTCTCAATTTCGCTTGCTTGCATTTGCTCTCTGCTTATAATTATATATATAAATAGATTTATGGATATAAAAAGTTTTAAAATCTGGCAAGCGCAATAAAATTCGAATAAAAGAGAGCGTTGATATAAAATTTTCAATTAAAAATAACAACACTCTCATTCGAGTATGAACGGAACGTTGTTGTTGTTGTTTATGATATTTTGGAAAATGCAAAAACGTAAAACGCACCAACTTTATGACATTCATTAAATAAACAACATTCGTCAAGTGAAAAGGAAATGCGCGCGCTCAATTTTCACTTAACTGAGCACAACACGGTGCCGTGCTGTGTGCTGAAAGAGCATTAAGATTTTGGAGTATACGACATTTAATTAACAATACTTCGATGACATTTGTTGATTGATACTAGAAATGTTCGCGAAATTGATCAATTGTGAGAGACGAAAACAAGTGGACTTGATCCAGTTTCAAAAGACAATTTCCATTAAATTTTAATTATTATGGGATTTCAAGTGTAAAATTTTCGCGGGCGAGAAAACGAACAATTCAATTTTGATGAAGAAATAAAAGTTTTGCATTGACTTTATTTTCATTTCTAGAGGGAAAAAACACTCACCTTGCAATCGAATGCGAGCATCTTGTTTACCCAATGCATTCACTGAGGTACACGTGTACTCGCCAAAGTCATTTTTCTGCAAGTTCTTTATGGTCAAATTCAACTGCCACGTGAAACTGTTTATTATTCGCTCTGAAATAACGTATTTTGCGCCATCGTGCAACTTTAAACTCCCTAGTGGAAAAAAACGTATTCGCTTTAATATTCAAATCGAAAATGTATCCATAGTCGAACAAAATAAAAATGTTGACCGCTAAATAGTAAACAACAAAAAGAACGGTGGCATACAAACCCCAAAGCAGGGGTCAAATAAAGAAAACTCTTGGCAATGACAAATAAAAAAAAGCACAACAAGACAACAAACTTTCGACAGTTGAAAGACACCAAATAGAAGAAAGAAAAATTAGTCGACATTAATGTCTTCATCGTATACCTACCATCGTTTCGATACCAGCCGTTTAATGGTTTCGGAAATACTTCAACAATGCATTCCAATAGAACGTGACTCTCGACGGGCGCTCCAACAACATGATTAACAGCTTTTACGAGCGGTGGAACTGTTTTTGGGAGTATAAAAATGAATGAGAAAAAAAATCGCAGTCGCACATAAAACCAAAATCGAGCAAGAAATAAAAGAGAGAAAAAAATAACATCGAATAACACCACACACACACCATCAAAATACATAATTGCTCTTGTTAAACGAAGTAAATGGGCACACCAAATTTGTACGGAAAATTGAGCCAGTGGCAACGGCAGCAGGCCACAAAAACCGTTTGCTCCTTTCATATATTAATGAAGCGAGAGTGAAAAAGAGAGAGAGGGAGAAATGCTCGGTCATGTAGAAAAAAGTGGAACAGACTCACGCCGAAATGCTCTTTCGATGCCTATTTTATAAACACAAGATAAAGTAATTTTTGTTTTCGTTGTCGAGAAAAAAAATATGCCATGATTTTTTCTCCCGTTAACCCACATTTTCTGTTTATTCACCGCATTACTACAGACATTAGCCGTTTGGGTTTGTTTGTGACACTGTTATACAATTGTTATGATTCCTCACCACTTAAAGTGAGAGGCATAAGTTGAGAAAATTTTGTGAAATTAAAACGAGCGTAAGCTAAAATTTAATTTCGGTCCCAATCAAATGGGAGCGAAGAGTGATTCAAGCGGCGAAAAAATCATCTGCTCAAATTGTCATGAGTCATAATCGCCAACAGAGAAAGTGAGACATGAAATGGAGAATAAGACCGCGTGGAGTATTTTTATGGTTTTGGTCATTTGTCGGTCGTCCATTTCAACAGCGAGTATAATTACACTTTGTTTGTTCTTCTTTCGATGGAAAAACAACGAAACGTTTTGTTTTTGAAAAATCACACTTCTCACTATTATCTTCATGCCGCCCGAGCAAAAAAAAAACGCCAACACCGAAAGACGAAGGTAATTTCATTTCATTTTACTTTTGGCAATTAGGAATGATTTATTGCTATTTGAGTGTGCAAAAAGATCACCACCGGAAAAGTGTGCGGCAAAGAAAAAATACATAAATAAATTCTCGTTTAGTCATTATTTGTGTGTGTGCTGATTTTAAATCCGATTGATCTTTTGGGAACTGTTCACTTTAAATCCAGTGATTTGAGTCGACTTTGTAGCAACTTTTTCTTTTCACTTCACCATTCTCCGGTCGTATCTACATGCTCTACGGCCATAAATCTTCAAATGTTTTGGATTTTGAAATTCGAATAGGAGAGATGTAGCACAAGCATTCCTGTTGTGCTTTTTGCCCGACCAAAAAAAAAACAGGGCATGATTCTACGGCATTAAATCGTGGTAAAAGAGCATAAAAGTGGTTTTGATTGTGGTGTTACACCATCATAAAAATGTACTAAAATTCAATTTATATATATAATATATTTCATTTCCACTATAAACGCAAATCACAAACGATAAATTCGTGTATGTACTTACAATTCACTTGAACATCGTATCGTTTTGACACAGTGGGCGGTACTGAAAAAGATTTGTATACGGGTTAAATGTTTTTAACTTTAAACTAGTTATTTTTTATTAATTTATAATTAAAGGATATTGTATACCTCCATTCGAAGCGCTGCAGCGATTGTTAAATTATTATAGAGAAAAAAATAGATGTATAGAAAATATTATAGTAATGTTTGTTGAGTGTGGTGCAAAAATAACATTCTTTTTCTTTGATTTCGCTTAATTTGGGCAAGAAGTTTTGGAAAATTTCACCGACAAGCGAATAACATTCCGAGAATATTTAAATAGTTTAATTATTAAAAATAGTTGCGCTTAAAAGATTTTCAAAACAAATCCAGCTGACTAATTAAGCGAGAACAATAGCAGCTTTGGCCAATGCAGCTTAATGCATAACCGAAAAATGTTATTTATAGACCACAACCAAATTTATACATGAATAAATAATAGTTTAAAATCTCACATGCACATATAGCCACCATTGTCTGTTCTTTGAACTTGATGCAGCACCAACCTGCTCCCTTCGACTTGCTTAAAGTCTTTATTGTCCATTACATAAAATACAAAAAAAATAAACGCAAATAAAATATTGAAGATTAGTCGCAAGCAATGAAATTGTCGTTCATTCCTTTTGAAACATTTATTGGATGATTTTAATTTGTCTTCATCGTTCGCTCAAGATTAGTGTCAATTTGGGAAAAGGAGTGAGTTTGAGTGAGAAGACGAGAGAGATTGAGGGATCGAAGTCATGGATATAAATAAGAAACAAATGAAATTATTTGTCAATATCATCGATTCAATTAGATGCTGTAAGTGGTTTTGTTTGTGTGTATGTGGTAGCGATTGTCACATAAATTCCTCTTCAGCATTGTTGCATTGTAAAATTGGAATGAAGACATACCGACAAAAAAAGGAGAGAAAATGTTGAAACAAATGAAAGAAAGAGAGAGAAAACACATCAAGTAAAAACCCATGGGACAAAGTGATGTGCACGATCCACTGTGGTGTATGTGTTTGTTTTGTCTTTGCGTAGTTCTCATCTCGAGTTGGTATCAAAATCACGAGATATGCATGTGAACCAGAATAAATCTTGAGAGAAGATTAAGCTAATGCGAATGAAAAGCAATAAAACAAATAGCATTTATCTCACACATAATACGTTTTTGAAAAAAAAAATGCCGTTGAACAGAAGTAAAGAAGAGAAATCCCAAAGACACACTCGAATCCGATTGTTCCCGTTCTCGATTTGTAGCTGAAGCATTCAGGGAAGTAACACACACAGTGTCTTTAGATTATAATTTGCCGATCTTAACTCATGCGATTTCAACGAAGTATAAACAAAGTCTTTTTTCGCTCATTCTCCACATTACAACATATACATACAAATATACAGATAAATAAATTAGCTTAAGTAAATAAAATGTGGCATATTTACATTGTTTATCGCGTCCTTCGCTACGTAGAACAATATCCTTGCCACCCTCACGTCGCCATATTGTCTGTTTCACCAGGTCGAATGTGTAATGAAATCAGATTGCCGTGAAACGACAATTTGTGCATGCACGGTAAAGACAACAACGGCAAAAAATTGAGAGAGAGAAAGAGAATAATACACATACAAAATATAGAATAGAATCAAATTGTTGTACAGATATAGATATGGCAAATAAGAAAGAAAAAATAATGAAAATCGGGTACTGTTGCCTGCTATACGACTCCGCTGGAAATGGTTTTGGCGTGCTATGCCACAAGAGCAACATATAAAACATAAATTCCCAGTTTAAGATAAATCAGAATTCAATTTGAAATAATTTATATATGTGGCCTAACCGATGCCGCTCTTTTTTTCCATGTGCACACATATACACTTGAGAGCAATAAACAGAAGATATCGTTTTGCTATGTGACTAAACATTTGAAATTAAGTATAGCATCTGAGTAACAGCCCGAACAAAAAAAGGTACAAACAAATAGAACTTGAAAATTTCAAACGTAGGCCCCTTTACAATTGCACGATGCTTACCGTTGGCGTTGGGACACCCGTTGCAATGCATACTAATTGAATTTGTCCGCCTTCATTTGTGACACTTTCATCCAGGCTACTTCCATTTGTATCGGCTTCATTGAGAATATCTGGCGGAACAACGACATTTAAATGGCCCCACTGTAACAAAAACCGACAGATTCGGTTTCGAATAATTTCATTATGGTGACCGTTGAAGAACACAGGAAGCAGGTCGTGAAAAAGAACAAGAAAAATTAGATAAAAACAAATTAAAATAAATGGCTAAAAAATCAATCGTGTTTGTGTTATCAAATCTTTTTTTTCTCTCTGATGTCCGTGTACTGGCGTTCTCGTTCGTTTCCCATTCCGTAAATTCTCTGGCGCATTGTCGAAATAAAGAGCATCGCACAATCTCTAAATGAATAGTTTCAAATAAGAATGAACGTCGACAACGACGTTGAACGCATAGTAAAACTTTAATGTGTGATAACACAATGGCAATGAATTGAGTAAATGAAGGCAGTAAGGCAATGTGCGATGACTCTCACGCAACCAGATTGGAGAATGAAAAAGAATAGTTGGTAATAATTGAAATGAGCATGTATGTATGTGTGCATGTGTGTTTAGAATATGTGATGGAACAGGACATTGTTTTTCTATCATCGTTTGCAAGGAGCACAGATGTAGAGAGCGAAGAGGAATTAGGAAGAAATAGATATCTGTGTGCCAATGCAATTGGCATGCATGCATGCACTAGATGTGTATAAAATGCTTGAACGGCAATGCATCCGTTAGAAAAATGGCACACGTAAACGATCTATGTGAATGTGTTTGAGAAAATGGAAAAATGGCTCATTCAAACTTATCCATCTTATGACATGCTCTTTATTCTGCACGTTATCTCTTCACCATTCAAAAATTAAAATTCAACATGCATTGAACATTCTCCTCATTATATTTATGTGATTTTCTACTTAATATTAACGCACATTTCTACCAGATGCCTAATAATAATATGCAAATTGCATTGTGTGTGCAAATGTATGAGAAAAATGCTCACATTATGCCGGAAATTCAAAATGCCAAATGATGATATGGTGATTAGAGAACGAACAGTCATGGCAAAGCAAATGAGAATAGCAGTCACGAAGTGTACGAATCCAAGTAATTTTTTCTTCGAATCTCTTTTCTATTTGACTTATTGTATGTTATTTTTGAAAGATTTACGGGAAAATTACACAATGTAATCGACTTACCTGACTTCGCATTGGATCTGTGTTGACTTGACACTGGAAATGTGCGATAGAACAAAAGACCAAATTGAGCATTTTGCTTTGGTTCAAAGTCAAATGTTATCCATAGAGAATTTTCTTACCATATACGATCCAGAATCATTGAGTTGCACATGAGATATGTGCAGTTTCCACGTATTGTGACCATTATGTGTAACGGATAGACGAGGATTCAGTGCAACCATTAGTGTATGTATTGCTAAAATCGCTTTTGAATCGGACTTTATCCATGCCTGAAAATGAAACTCTGAAAATGAAACTCCGAAAATCAAATCCACCACCTGAAAATGATACCCACCACCTGAAAATGAAACGCACGCATCATAATAAAATTCACATTTATATATAACTAATATTTGATTATTTTTTTTTATTCATTTAGTGAATCTCTTTACTCTCTATTATTCTCTGCATGTCTCTCTGACTCTGATACTTTCTTTTTATGTCCTTGGTCTTTCACACTTTCTTGTTTCACAAATGTCGAAAGGCACATAAACGTGCGCGTCAAAGAAAATCGCTTTCGCGCACAATAAATATTTTAACACCCATTAAAAACGATTACTAGCATTGAAACTTGAAGTTTTTGGTTTGGCAAAAAACTTTGCTCCAGTCAGTTTCGGTCTGAATACGTTTCTCTATCTTTTTGTGCGCTTTGGTAAAATGTTGAGGCTAACCAAACCAAAAGCATAATTGTTTGAAAATGGGCAAAATGGACGGATTTTAATAGAAAACGCATCCCATATACTCTTTACGTATAATATACGCTTGAAAACAATTGCTAAAATGCAATGCAAAGAACGGAGTTTTGCCACAAGGCATAATTTATCAAATGAAAAGAATGTCCTACAAAAGAATACCTAGCGAAACATTAAATTAAAATGGAAAGATATTGCAAATGAAAATGGGTCTCATTCTCTTTCTCTGTTGAATATTATATGAATATACAAGCATTGTTTCTGTGGCGGCGTTGCTGACATGAAAAGTAGAAAACAAATTTCAATTGTTTTATTACACTTTATGTCCTTATCACTTCATAAATGGAACTGTTGCGACAATTTCTGCTTCAAGTAGGGAATGCAATGAGTGGAGAACGAAAAAAAAAAACAGAAACATACGCAAAAGTTAAGTGATCGCTATTGAATCTGATTTTCAATGGTTTCATGTGTTTGTTAGTTGCAGTTTTATGGGAAATGCTATCAAGATGTTCGAAACGACATTTTATGCTTGCAAAATTTTTCCGCACTTAACACAATGCACACATACACACAATGTCAATGTGGAGAAACCAAAAAAATTGCCAACTCCGCAGAACATTTCAATATAAGAAGTTGACGAAAAAGCTTTACGAATGCAACTTTGTCTCAACCATAAAGTGTGTGAAGTGGCTTTTTAGCTAAAGTGTGAGTGCGAGTGAGAAATATAGCTAGGTGCCGTATATAATAAAGTGCTGTGGTCAAAAGTAGCCAATGTCTCGTTTTCCTAGACTTAAAAAAAGGCCAACACAATATTCAATGCAAACAAAAACCCAGGCACATTTGAGAATGATTTTATTATCTCTCAAGAGGAAGCTATTTTATTCATTTCAATACAAGAGGAAACAGAAACAAAAAAAAATTCCAAGAGTTCTTGGCGAACTGAACAATAGAATATTTAACTATAAAAATGTTCGTTCATTTAGTAAAGAAAATTAAATCACCCTACTCAATTTGAAGCAGTAAGTGTTTTGAAACCCGCAGGTAAACGCTTTTTTTCAAAATGCATACACCAGAACAAAGACACAAAGAAGAAGAGAAAGAAAAAGTACTGTTTAAATTTACCGCTTCATTGAGTATCGAGCACCAATCTAGTACTTCGAATTTCCAGTGTGTGTATATGTATGATGAGATGGAATGATTGTCATTTCTGACGTGTATCTGTGAATGCAAAGCGTCAGTATAGTTTTGACATGAATATAGTTCATAGCTACATTACTGACAATACTAAAATTAGATTCATTTGTGTGCTTTTTTTTACAGTGATCGTGTCGTCGAGAGCCGGTCGACCAAAGTGACTGACGAGCGTGAAAAAAAAATCACACAAACACATCAAGTTCTACTGTTGTTGCTGCTGCCGTGAAATAAATCTAAATTTAAACGCACAGAGCAGCAAAACAGTAAGACGAAGCATCGATTGTGGACCGTTGCGGTGATTCTTTTTCAATCATTTCATTTTTAGCTCGTCTCGTTCAGTTTCCCTTTTCGGTTTTGTGAAAAAAAAACTGTTGTTTTCCATCAAAGAATAATTTGCAGTTTTCAGGACGATATTTATCACATATGTTCCGGAAAATGTGTTATTTTCTACACTGAATGTAAAAAAAGTAAGAAATTTCCACCGAAATATAGTGAAAATCAATGTAAAGTGTGTATATTTAGGAGAAAAGTATTTTTGTTCGCTGAACATTGTGAAGAAAAAAAAAAGTTTCCGGATTTTTTCGTGTGCATATATAAAAAAAAGTGAATTCATTTAATCTAAATGCATTCTGAAAACCAATTAATTTTTCAAAATGTGCCATTTACTTCATAAACAAATTAAAAAAACTCATTCACATGAGTTATATTGTCACAAGATATTGAATTGTTATTAAACATTGTGGCGACTTTCGTGACTTAATTCATAATTCAAATTGAATTTTCCATTCCATGATTTGATAAATGCGATGAGATAATACATAGCGTTTCTGATAAGCCTTAATGTAATTGCTTGCTGCGACGATCGGTATTCTCTTGAGAAAAATCGTTGTTTGTGCACCTTTTTCCATGCCATAGGAATCTATATAAGAAAGTTTATTATCTTTGTCATGAGCTCTGATTCTGTACGCTGCTAACAATTATTTTCATTATGTAATTTTTTTCTGTGTTCATCGAATGCTGTAAGTCATGTATGCTGGGTTCTATGAAAGAAAGCAAAAGCAGTTCATAAAACCCGTCGTGTGAGACAGAGAGTTAAAAGCTGAAAAAGAGATAATTTGGCAAACTTTTTTTTTTTATTATTCTAGTGTGAAATTACATGTGCGATTTGCAGTGCGTTTGTGTACTCGTTCGACTTTTGTTCCGTGACGTTGTTGTAGACGAATGTGAATTATTATTATTGTGGAATAGTTATTTATAAATAAATACGCCGGGACTTTTTGATCACTTGTACGCCATCACTTCTGTTTTCTTTCTGTTCAAAAAAGCGACTTTTCCTATGACCATGTGACACAGCGCACAATATTCAGCCGAACAATCATTTTCCACCGAATATTTGCTTGAATTTGCATTTATTTGTCTGTCAAAGTGTGTGCGTCTGTGTGTATGTTGTATTAATTAGATCTGTTTTTCTGGTTTGTTTGTTTGTATCAATCGTTTGATAGTCTACCCGTTTACTCTTAAGCCACTCTCCCGGCTTCGAATTGTTCCGGAAGCCGTATTGCATCTGGTTTTGCATTGCACGGAAGAATGACCATTGAAATATATATCAATTTACAGTTGTCCATTCGAAATGGCAACAAGACTGAATAAAGCCGCGGGAATCTCTTCATCACTCACAATGACATATTTGTTTTTCATTTTCCGAGCAATTGCCTATGTTTCGTTTCTCTATGCTCATTTTCATTCGGTTGCAGTACAATTCGTGTATGTGCGATTGCTTTGACAGAATTTATATGAAACCATTGGACGACGAGCTTGTGTCGCCGCAAACAAAAAGAAAGAAAGAGAGAGAGCAACACGGTGAGATTGATACAGAAAGATAGAGCGCGCAATTTCAAATGCAATGCCTCTTTAAGCCATTGTATTTTAACGATATTATACCGCACGTCACACAAACCAAACTGAAAAACGATACTATGAGACGACAACAGACAACGAGTATCACAATTTTCGTTTGAATGTTCTGAAGTGTGAAGTGAATTTGATTCGATTAATATGCCACGCAATCATTGTATTCGAGAACACTGTAGCATTTATTTATACAAGCTCATTCAGTATATTGAATAACGTTCTGTCATCAACAATATAATAGTTAACTGAAGCGTGTTCGAAATAATAAATGACCATCTAAATTTCAATTTTTGCATTCATAGGTACATACATACACACATACACACACATTGTCTGATCAAGCGAAATTTTTACAACCAAATATTTGATTGTTAAATACCAAAACAAAAGCCGAACGACAACGAAAAGCGAAGCAAAAACAACATTAAAATGGATCCCGAGGCATTTTTGGACATGGCCAATCAGGTCATTAAATTGAAAATGTTCCCGTATTTTGACATCGCACATAGTTTACTCTGTGCATTGGCTGTTCGAGAAGATTTGGGCCCTGGTGCGCAAGCATTTTCGCGAAAACATCCATTAGCATGTTGGTTGTCGACGATGCTTGTCATTTTTGCCGGTGGAATGGTGGCCAATGGTCTATTGGGTGAACCAATTTTGGCACCGCTTAAGAATTCACCACAACTTTATGTTGCCACAGTTGTGTGGTATGTCGTTTTTTACACACCATTCGACATTGGTTATAAGGTATGATTGAGAAAAATGTCGTATTTTTTCCACTGCGATATTAATTCCTTTCTAAACGAATTCAATTTAAAGGTTGGAAAATTTTTGCCCGTTAAAGTGATTGCATGCGCTATGAAGGAAATTTATCGATGCAAGAAGGTAACATAAATAGCAAAGAAAATACGGAATTTGTTTTTTTTTTTCATATACTATGTCTAAAATATAAAACTTCAAAACATAGATTCATGATGGTGTAACACATGCCGCAAAATTGTATCCAAATGCTTATATTATCATGATTATCATTGGAACGTTAAAAGGAAATGGTGCCGGATTCACAAAATTAATCGAACGATTGATTCGCGGTGCTTGGACACCGACTGCTATGGAATTTATGCAACCAACATTGTAAGTAGAAAAACATTCATTTTGCCAAGATCAATTTAAATCACATATCATTGAAATGAATAAAACTTTTTAAATGAACATTTTTCAGCTATACAAAAGCGTCGGTTGTTGCATCACTTATTTTCGTATTGGACAAAAAAACTGAATTGATTTCAGCGCCACATGCTTTGGTCTATTTTGGCATTGTGATTTTCTTGGTCTATTTCAAACTGTCATCGATTTTGTTGGGCATTCATGATCCATTTGTGCCCTTCGAGAACTTATTCTGTGCTCTATTCCTTGGTGGCATCTGGGATAGTTTGGCCAAATTATTGGGACGTGGTCAAATCAAAGAAGAACCAAAAGATGCAAAAAAATTAAATTAATTTATCACATAAATATTTATCCAGTTTTCTAGTTACCTTGTTCCCCTAGTCACAAGAAGTTCTTGCCACAGAAATGTTTTTTTTTGCGTTCATTAAGCCAATGATGACAACACGGCTTATTTTCATCGAATGAGATCTACGGCTTTTTGATTTTTAATGTACAGAAAATAATTTTATGAGAGAAAAAAAAGTGAAAATATTCACGCGAAAATGAGAAAATGAAATATTCTGTTGATGCCAAACATACTGTGGGTGGTATTTGCTTTGGCATTGTATTCACAATATTTCGACTGAACAAAAGAGACACAGCGACGATACCAAAATTCATCATTTTGATAAAGTATTACATAAGTTTCATATGCTATTGACGATTTTCAATTCAATATTCAATAAAGTTTTGAAGTTATTTGATTTGGAATGATACAACATATATATATATTAGCCCTGTGAAAAGTATGCACATGATTCTAGAGATATCACGATAAATTAAAAAGCTACTCTACATGTAACACGAAAAATATGTTCAACTTATGACTTAAATTTAGAGATTAAATAAACTTTTTTTCTGTGTTTTTTTACGATTGATAACAACAAAATGGGGTTTTTATTAATTTCAAATGAATTTCGAAATCATTCATCTCTGCATCAAAGTTTTCACTTATTGGTCAATAAGTAATATCGTAAGTATAAAATGAATTTACTAATAAATGATGCATATCAGTTGATAATAATTAAATGTGACGATAAGCAGCTTATTATATTATAAGCAAAAGGAAACCTTCAATTCTGTTGACATATAGTTCCTTAAGAAATTCTTTTAGTCAATAATCTTCTGCATTGAACTGCATTCGGTGATTGTTTTATTTATGTGGAGTCTTGTACATAAAGTATATAGCAAGTATAAGTAAGTGAGTGATTTATTTTAATATAGTAAGTGAACCTCTGGTATTCAATTTTATATTGATATGTACAAAATAGTAATCAATACATCGAAATGTAACGTTGATGAAATAGGAGACTAGTCATCGTATGAAACCAAAATTAAAAGTAATTCTTAATTGAATTTTTGCTGGCATCAAAAGACCCGCTTCGAACATTTCATTTTAATCTGATTATTCCAGTGGAATAATAAATCTTAACATAAAAGACATTCATCTTGTGCTTTCTTGAATGGTAATAATCAAACGTTTGTATTTTCCAATGGAAAATTATGCATTAATAAATACATCAGCGATATGAATTTATGATAATGACTTTGGTCGCCAACACATTATACAATTTTATGCAAACAAATTGGCAATTGGCGTTGTATATAACGAATTAAAATATTCAACTCTCAATCGTCTCTGCATTTGAATATAGTGATTTGTGTTATGCAATTTGTATTCATGTTTTGTGAAAAGCGACAAAGCGAGAGAGAAAAAAACCACGTAAACAATATCATTTCGAACATAAATTGCTTCATGGCGTGGAAAGACTAAATTTTCCACTTAAAATGCAACTACATGAAAAAGTGTGTAAGAGAATGAGAGCGAAAGAAAAATCAATGAATAGCAATCTCGGTAGTGTGCTATTGCGAGTGAGCTCTATCACATGGTAAATAATAATTACTTTAAAATTCTTTTGTGTACCATGCGCAATTCAAATAGACTTGTAAGCAAAGAATGTGAAATCCCATAATTTATTGCATTCACTCGACGAATACTGAATGTTTCACTGCATCTCATTTGATACACAAATGATATTATGGTCGACGCCACACAGTCACATTGAATCTCAATCAAATACAATCCAAGAGAAGGACCAACGGTGGATAGAGAGAGAGAGAGAGAGAGATGGAAAAAATTGGTAGATGGAATATTGTGCAAATTGATGTCACTCACCCGATATTGTTGTAAATTTTCAACAACACATGTAAATGAAATGTCACGTCCTTGAGTCACTGTAAAATTATCTAATGGAGCCAAGAACTCCGGTTGTGGTTCTAGTTGCTGGATGCTTGTGCCTGTTAAAAATAAACGTATACACATTAAAATGAAATGAAACACATACACAGAAAAATGAAAACATATTAAGAAAATAGATAAAGAGCAAAAGAGAGGGACGAAGAAATAGACAGAGAAAAACGCCTGGGATATACGATAAAGATTACACCGTTTTGATATACAAGTATTTTATGTCTTTTATACGTTCGCATTACCAACAAGCCAGGAGATGAAGGAAACGACGCTTGGGATGAATGGATGAAGACGAAAAAAAAAAATGAATTTGAAGGGAGAATAATGTTTTACAGGAAATTAAGGTGCTTAATTCTTCAGATTCATCAAGATGTTTGGATTATTCACAAAAGCGTTGCGGACAGCATTTTACCAAGAATCACTTAACATAGGTATTTTTTACTTTTATCTGTACGGCGAAACATTTTTCTTCTTATTTATATTCAAAACAATCAGAACTTTTTATTTCCGCGTATTATAACTGTTGTTATGGCGGAGATGTGAAAACTATTATGAAATAATCACCCGCAATATTACAAGTTTTTTTGTTTGTTGGCTTACATCATTTATGGAAATAAACTGAACTTTCGAGCTTAGATTGAAGTGAATATTATGCGCTTTCGAATACAGCTCAAAACACCAAAATACAGTATTGTGATTATTAAGGACTAAAAAATGTGGGTCCAAAATCGATTTACAGTAAAAATCTGATTTTCGATTAAAAAAACATCAAAATGTATAAATTTCACAAAAATTAAAATTTATACCAAATAAATTTGGTTTTAAATTTTAAAAAAAAATGTATAAATATTTCAACCCAAAAAAACTCATTCGAAATGTATGAGTTTATTAAAAACTTACCCTGAATAAGTAAAGCACTGCATAGGAATTGAAGTAGTATTTTCAAATAGAATTTCTTTAAAAGCTTAACGTTTGCCATTGTGTTCCTGTTTGGGGTAATTCCTGAAATGAATGTAAAAAATATGCTTTATTAATGTGTGCATTCATTTGTCAGTGCGATTTAGAAAAAGAGAGTACGCTTGATATTTTGATAAATCGAAATAAAATGAAATATAGAGCTGTTGAACTGCCGCCATGGTTCCACGAAATTTGCATATTTTAAAAATGCTAGGTGTTTTGTTTTGTTTGTTTGCAAAACACCAGTAGACACATTTCATTTTTCTTCTCTCAACTATACATTTTATTTGGTCCTTTGCTGCTGGTTCGTTCATTAACATGCATGTAGACTAGAAACTTTTCCAAATATTCTATATTGATACAGTTGTATAACAATTTATGCCAAACATGAATGGGAATAGAAAAGGCATTAAAGGATATTCAACGCTTGAGTGTTTGGAAGCGCTTGTAGATTCTTTGACCGATTCATTGTCATTGTGAGTGTGATGCAGAGAATGAGTGAGTGAGGGAGAGAAAAATGTCTGCAAAGTTTCAGTTGCCGAAGCTGAAAATGTATGCAAGTCGTGTGCCTAATTTTGTCGACAATGAAGCAATAAATAGAAAATTAAAACAACAACCAAATTACAAATTTCGGACGGCATGTTTTTGGTTCGGTTTTGTCATAAATAACGACAAGAGACAAAAAAAGAGACAACAAAATATGAATATCATCTATAAAAGTCAATTTCAATTTTGATCACAATGAAAAATGTCGAATTTTCTCTCTGTCCTTCTTTCATCTTTTCGGTCGTCCTTTGCTGTTAGTAGCCGACTGCTAATCAATTGAATTAAATTAGCAGACAAAGGATCGATATTGAAATGTTGGTGCTCTTTTTAAGTGAATTCGATATGCTCTTTTTGACGATTTCGTCGAAGGGACTTTTTGGACCTATAGAAACTGATATCACTTTGAAATTAATTGATTAATTAAAAAAAAATTTAAATGATTATTTAAAGATTGATATACTAAAGAATTTGTCTCTTTTTAATGTTTTGCATAGCTTAAATTCTGAACAACATTCCTGACGAAAGGAAGGTAAACATAAAAATCTCTTATTGCAAAATTTCAGTTAATTGGTGTTCTAAATCGAAAAGTCCACATCAAAATGGACAAACACACATGCACACAAGCAGAAGAAGAAAAAAGGAATGTGGTGAAAGAGGATTTAATTTGATTATATTGCTGCTGAATAAAAAAAAGTACACGCTAATCTAATTGAAATCGATATCGCGCTTTTCGTGCGACACTTTCCATGCAATAAAACTTGTTGTTGGCTCACACAGATTTTACGCTCAATGGCAACCATGAAGTAGCATTGGTGTCGGCGGCCGTTTTATGAACGAATTCTCGTTTTCGCTTTATACAAACAAAAAATAACAATAATTTAACTAGTTTAAAAACAAACTTAAAGCACATCGCGTTTCAGAAAAACGGGAAAACTTCGACACAACTTTCCGGACAGAAAGAAACTCTGTCTTGTGTTTTATATTGTGTTTGTTGTTCTTCTTCTTCTTCTTCTTCTTGTTATGAGTGTGTGTGTGTGTGTTGTGTTCTTTTATTGTGCACAACTCAATTTCAGTGCTTGGTCCGTGTTTATTCGATGTGCATTTCATTTTTCGTCCTCGTTTGCTCTCGCACTCTCTGGTGCCTTTTTGATTCCATTCGGCTTTATTCAACAGAGACGTGCAAAATAGAAAAATACCCAGATGTTTATTTGAAATAAATAATACTTATTGTTAGTATTTTTTTTTCTTCTTTCATTCTGGTTTAAATTCGCTTTTTCGAAAGTTTTGCTCGAATAGCGCGAACGAAGCACCAACAACACGCTTCACAAACTGCACACTGTTCGTAGTTGTAGACGTTGTCGTTATGTCAATTTAGCCGCTTCGGCTTCCTTTACGTATTGGAAATCTCATGTTTCGCTCTTTTCTTTTTTCTTCTTATTCACTTTCTTAAATAAAGCGTCGGAATTATGTTCTTGCATTGAAAATACTGTTTGGAGTTTGTTAGCTCACTTCCTCTCTCTCTTCTTTTTTCCTTTCAATGTATGAACGTTATTCTCACTAGTTCCATGTATTCTCTCTTGTTGCATTCCGGGAGTATTGCTACTCCATACCAGCAACAATTTGCTTTCTCTCATTCTTCGTCATGTTTTTATGGGATAAAGTTTTGCATAACTGCATCATATTGCAAATTGTTCGGCGTGCTTTTGCAATAAACGAATAATATTTTGGCTGCGCATCAATTCTTTTTTTTCGTTTTTAATTTCATCGCATTTTAATTCGTTTTTCAAGTTGTGCTAGTGACTCACTAGTAGCGAAACATATTATAAATTGAATGGACTCAATAATAACAGGATAAAAGCTGGCTATAACAACGAAACGAATCATTGAATTCTTTTGCCTCCTTGGCAATGCAATAAGAGAGCAGTGTCGAATTAACATTTCAAATCCGGACAAGTCATTTTGTTAACTCGCTGTGTTTTCTATTGAAATTATTTGTAATGAAACTGTGCTCTGAATCGAGTCATGTACGATGTGCGTATAGTTGGGGGATTTAGTGAACTGAAACTTTTTGTGTGTCTGTGCTGTTTTTGGTATGGAAGCATGTGAGTTTAATACGGGCAAATCCTTATTTTGTTGTCGATAATTATGAAATTTTATACACAGCCAATAGAAAGTCGTAAAATTAAATGCGATTTGTGTCGTTATTTCTGCTGTTATTATGTTGACTTTGTCTGAAAGCTGTGCATTTTTGTTGCCGCTTGAGCTTCTTAAACAGAATTTGAGTAAATCGATTTCATTGGGCTGGAATGGCATGATGTGTATTTAACGCAACAAAAAAAAAACGACCAAACATACAACATTCCATCGGAAATTTTCGAGTTTGAGGTAAATAAAAGCTTTGAAACAAACGACAGCGGTTATTTTTGGCACACAAACACCACTTGTGCACTCTACCAGTCTTGTTCATTCGTTGACTCTTTGAATGTTCTGCCAAATTCGGACTCACGTTATAACTGAATCAAATCCGATTTCGTACCATTTGGTGCACACACACACATTTTCGTTCTCTTTCACTTGTACGGCATACACACAACAGCAACAGCAAACGAAAACTGATGCCGAAGCACTTTTAACTATTTCTAATAATAATTAATGGATTTAATAATAATAATAAAACCTCTTAACATTCTGCTTACTTTCACTTGGCAATAAACCCCGTTTTCATTTTGGCAGCATTTATTCGCTACGTTCCACTCATAGTCTTTTCCTTGTTTCATTTTCTCTTTTACTCTTTCCCAAACGTTCGTCGTTGGCCAATCAACGAACACGGCAACATGAAACAGCACAACAATGCGATTACAAATTGTTTCGAAAAAATAGAGTTAAAACGAAATTGAAAGAGAATGATAGGGCCAATGAGTGAGCAAAAGAGTAAGATAGTTGAAAAGTTTTTAGTAAATATCGTAATAAAGATTATCGTCTCGAATTATTTTACTCTCTCTACTATATATATATGTATATTTCATGACTGCAGGCGAGGAAAGGTGTCAAATAAACATCGAACTTTGCACATAATTTTCGACGCCTTTGTCGGTTGTCGTCGTACCAAAATCCATTTGAATCAAAAGAAAATAATTATTATTATCGCTTAAGCCTTAATTTTAATTATGAAACAATTTTTCATTTAACAAATACGACATTTACACAATGGCAATTTGAACAAATTTTACCGAAAATTCAAATGCTTTGGCATTGCTCGTTTTCATTGTCGGTTATAAGAGATTATAAGGTTGAAATTCCGACGAATGTATAAAGATTCTATTTATGAGTCAAAGATTGCCAGTTTGTACCAACTCACAATGCACATTAGACTGTTTTGTAATCTTGCGTCGCTAATTAGGCTGGCTTAAGTGTAAAATATCTTTAAAAAGTGGTATGTTTTTTTCCGGACATGGATTATACCAATTTTGCAGAGAAAAACGTGTAATCATCAAGTTCCGCTGTTTAAAAGTGTTCATTTCATCGTAACATAGACTGTCTTGACTTTTCTATGTACCCAGCGAAATTCAGATTGAATAAACGAATTGTGCGTTCGGTTTTCGTAGTAGTTTGGTGTTTTGCGATACAACAGTGAATTGCTTTAGTTAATCTTGGCCTTAGCAAACAGATTTTCTCACAATGTCTTGGTGTTTGTATGTATTTCATTTAATTTGCTGTAGAGAAATGGCCAAAGCAACAGGATTAATGAGGAACAATGAACCTTGTTGTTTTTTTTTTCTTCACATCGGTTTATCTCGAATGAACTTGATGTGCATTTCAATTTCCATTTGTGTATGTGCACGAGCCTTTATATTAAGCTTAAAATCCATTTGTATTCTTGATAGTTTGTCAAAATCATATATCAGACGGCTTGAATATTCATTTCCTTTTGTTATTGTGTGATAGAGTGTATGATAGCGAGGGCGAGAAACAAAGAAGGGAGAAAAAGTGGATTCATCATCGTGAACTGTTGAGCCAGACACATCAAACGTTTATTTGCCATAATCAAATCTTTGAAATCCTCATTCAATCGAATGGAATTCCCTCTTCATCACATTTGCACTCTCTGCATTGCGTAGAATGTAAGGATGGCCACTGTTCGTCGGACAATGTTGTGCATGCACGTCAATTGTTGAAGAGCATAGCAACGTGAAACATCGGAACGGATTGAATGCTGACGATGAGTCTGTTTTTGTGTTGAAAGTGAGTCGACGACACTCTCATCAAATCGAGCCCAACATTCTTGCATTCATTCACGTGCAAGACACAAAATTATCTCTTAAAGATGTGCCGAGCGTATAAAATACACATCGTTAGAGCGATTGGGGTCTGGGGTGTATAGTACGTGCAATTTCCACTAGCTAGTACCATTTTATTCAAATCTCCACTTTTGTGGTCATTTATCTCTTTCATTTGGGCATCGCGTTCACAATACTCTTGGATTACGATAATTTCATTTT